TCTTGTCCCTGAGGATCGTCTAGTCGTGACGTGTTCGCGAAAGGAACGAATTTAAATTCCCCAACGCGAATTTCGATAATCTCGATTTTATTGCTCAGCTGGGATCGAGTGAACAACTTTGATTAATCACAACAGGCAGATATTTTTGAAATATTGCATTTAAGAATTTAGGAATAAATTAGTGTATCGTTTCCGAATGGCTAGATTTAAAAGGTACTAAGTCTGCGAAAATAGTGATCAGACAAGATGTTCGTCTTATTATTAGAGTGGGGCAGTTTGGTTCGCACAAAAGAAATCAACGCCCAGTGAAGTTATAAAGAAATTTTCTGCAAGAAAATGAAAGGGGAGCAAGGAAACCATAGGAGTCGGTGGCGCCTTTGGAAAATGAATTGCTATTCAGATGGATCGGGACGACGCAATTACATTCCGATTGTCTCATCGTTTGAATGGCTCGCTGATCGATTGTATTGAGCCTTAATTGGCTGTAAAGTCTCCGGGACTCGGAAGTACGATTGTCTTCTCTCGCTTATGCCGTAGTTTTGTTTGTCCAAGTCTTCACCTGCGCGGCTGGAGATAATATTTCTTAAGACCAATAAGAATGAAGTTCGATCAAGCGTCACGATGTAACGTGAATTTATCGAAGAAGACATTACTTTATCAACGGTTCAATTATTATTCAGTTATAAAAATATAATTAATAAATATTCTTAGACTGTGTAAATCTTTGGGTAGTTTCTTTTTTATTCACGGATACGTTTGACTGAAACTTTTGACCACTCGGAAATTTTAAATGATAGAGAAGTGTCCCTGTCATTGTCATTCGTTGGAAACGAGCCGCGGTTAACTCGCAAAGTAAATTTTAACGTAGGAAGGGAGGCCAGCGGAAAGAAAGAATCGGCCTGTCCGCTGAAACTTTCCTCATAAAAGTTCTTATTTAATTGCTTCTTCGTAGGTTTCTTTAGCATGAACGGATACGCGTCGCGCGACTGTAACTGTAACGACTACGCGATGCCGGGTTCACGGCGAGGACGCGTCACCGGCAGAGTTTTTCAGTTAACCTGTTAACGAAAACGAACGAAATCATTTCACGGAGAAAATGAAAATAAGACACCAGATGTGTCCCGGGCAAAAACCCATCGCTGCTAGTCACATCATTTTCTTCTTTCCGCTTCCTCCCTATCTCGCGACACGCTCGATATCTCGTTCGCCGTTTTTAAATCGAATCCAGATTTCGTTCCATTCGACAATTTCAATGGTTAATTCTAATAGGTTCAACCCAGGTATCATTCATTATCTCATCTTAGACAAAATATGCATTATTTCAATTATTAATATTGTTTCAATACTTAGAGGAGAAATAGTTTTCACGTTTTCGGAACATTGCACCAGTTATTCGAAACACTGCGCTCGTTCTGAAACTTAAATACAGTGCCGAACGATCAGTCAGCAATTATTCTTCTGGAGTCGTTGATTCTGAAAAATGATCAGGAGCCACGGTTATTACGGGGAAATAATAAATCGTGAGCTGGGCGACATCGATAACCCGGCGTTGAAATTATTGCCAACGTGACACCGGCTATCATTTCACGGCGTTGTAACTCTCTTAAAGATATTACCGCCATCCGCTTCGCCGACAAGTTTCCCTCTTAATGACGAAACTGGAGGGAACTCTAAAATTCGTGGACCGGTGGAGGGTTGAAAGAGAAAGGACTAATCGTTTTGCGGCGAAATTTCTTTTATGCCTCGACGCCAGGGGTTGCGCGGGGGGAGGGTACGCTGCAAGTGTACCGGCGAAATGATACGACAGGGGATCGGTGCGGGGGAAGAGCACTGGGCGAAGAACAGAGATTACCGATGGCGATGAACGAGGAGATACTTTGGCCGAGATTGAGAGGGTGGTTTACCTTCCCTTAGCTGGAAGGCTATCTGCGGACAAGCCCAAAACGCGTTGCCCGTCAGACCTGGGAACCTTCAAACTTACATCAACGAAATGAAAGAGCCACGCTCCACCCCGTAACTTCGACCCTTTACCCAAGTCCCCGTTCTTCTTCATCCCCTACCCTTCCACCAGACTTGGCCGATGCTCCCGTCTCTTACCTCCCGATCCACCTTTACTGTCAAAACTTGAGATATCCGTGGATTTGTGTCTGGATCGGTTGTATTAACGAAACTTTCCGCGCGCCTCGCGAACGCGATGTTCCCGTTCCCAATGTCTGCACCGATCGCTTCGAATGAACTTCGAACGGATACGCGTTATTATCGGCTGTTCGCCCATGCGTATCCACTGCCTAGATCCCTTTTCTACCCTGTCTTCAGCTTTTCGCAGTGTGAAAAATTGTAAGAATGTTGTATTTAAATCAAACTCATAGATAGTAGAAAATCATACGTCGGTACATTAATCATTTGGAAATTCCATTTAGTAAAGTGTCATAATGTAATACATAGTAAATGATTGTTCACGTAACAACTTCTGATCACTGGAATTTTTTCTATCGTTTTATATGTATAGAATCGTATATAGAAATTGAGACATTGTATAAGAGTAGAAAGCAATTTAAATTTTGGAAAGGTAATCGAATCTAGTAATAATATATGCATATCAAATGAAATGTATTGCATGTTGAAAATGTGTTATTGGTTTTACAGTTGTGGCACGTAGTATTCGTTGTTACTGTAACACGCGTTTGCATTTCACCGCAAGTTTGTGTTGCCCGCACGTTTCACGTGTTAGAATATGCTCCAGTTCTGCCGGGAAACTTTACCATCCATTTTCGATATTTGGTAAAGTTTTTAGAAATATTCGGTCTACTTACCCACGCACTTTTCCCAAGAATATCGTATGCGACAGTTAGGTATGTCGTAGAAATTAGGGAATCTGTTGACGCATTCAAACATTGACGCTTATTTCTCTATTATTTTTTACATTTTTGCTTTTTATTATTTTACGTAATACTATCGACTATAATCTTGCATTTGTAGTATAACAGGTGCTATCGTGGAGACCAGATAGAGATCTACTTCTTTGATAAATCGATCCTGAATTGCTCCATCGGATTTAGACTCTCTAGAGGCTCTTTTCGGTCCGCGATTGTTCGTAAACAGAAACATAACTCTTGCCGTATCTCCTAATAGTACGAGCTGAATTAACCACCGGTACTGACATAATTTCGCGAGCATTGCTCGATCCGAGTAAAATTTGAATCTGTTTTCATGAGATTTTCAGTTTTAAATTCTCGTCTTACTATCTAATATTATTTAATCGTTTGAGTTCAAGATTGTTCCGAAGTAACTGCCGGTAGATATTTTTATTTCCTTCCTTTCTTAACCTTGTCATTTCTTACTAAACCTTAACTTCGTACTTGAAAATCTTCAGTTGTATTAAAGTTTTGGGCTCATCTCAAAACAGAAACGAACCCACGGATTAAGTTCTCTTGAAAGACTTGAAGAAATTCTGTTACATCGTTGCTCGAGGAAAATACTCCACGCTGCTAAAAAGTAAGAAGCGTTTAAGTAGCGAGACGGAGTAAATTTTAGCCAGAAAATATTTGAACAACGTGGAATCACAGTTTGAAAGTCAGCCCCCCGGCGCGGACGCGGAAGTTCGCCGCACGCTCTATTTCGCGTGAGAATGCAGCCGTACGACGATTTTTCACGAAAATGAAATGTCATACGAAATGAGCGCGGCCACTGTATCCATCCACCGCGGCGACTCGCTTTTTGATAAAGGATGAGCAGCTATTATTCTAATGGTGCTACGGTCACATTCTGCTCCGCGCGATTCCGCATCAACTGTAAATATTTGTCTCGGCTTTTCCCTCGCTCTGCGTTTTTCTCTCCTCATCCACCATTTCTTTACGTTTCAAGCAACATAGGAAATGCTTAACATTTTTAATTCTCACGACAAATATTTATGGGTAATTTTAGGTCTCAAAATCTGTGGTTGCATGTGCAGTCTTTCTGTTTTATTAGATAGGAACATTTGAAATAATTCAAGTTTCATTTGATTTTACAAAAAATGTATGAATCACAAATTAGTTCTCCATTTGCCTAACATTTCTTCTGAAATCCTTTTCAACTATACTTCTAAGAAATCCTTTTGAACTGTTTGCTGAAGTATTTACATTATTTATGATATGATCTCAGATATGGGCGTTCAAATCCATTCCGAAGTGTCGCAATGTTCTGTTTATTTTGTTAGATAAGTACGCTTTAAATAATACGAGTTTATTTTGATTTTAGAAAAACAGGAACAACATATGAATCACAGTCATTAATAGACTGCAGATTTTTATGGAAAGTAAATCATTTATGGTGTCAATTTGAATGATGTGTTCTGGATAAATATTTGTTAGAACATTTAAATATTGAATCATGTATCGCAGTTTAGTTCTTAATTCTCTATTTGTCTTCATATTTCTTCTGAAATCGTTTGAATTATTTGATGAAATATTCACATTATTCATGATATGATGTCAAATATAATTATTCGAATTCAAACTCAGAACTAAATAGGCTTGAAAATGAGTTTCAAATCCCATCGGAGACGAAAATGACTGAAACCAATATTAGTTAAAATATAAATTACTGTCTTTTCCCCTCTGCATTGTTCAGTTCCTTTTATTAATCTGTCTCGTTAGACACTGTCATTTTATTCTAAATATCGTGAACACGCCGCACGTTGAACCTGCGTGGCATGTGAACCGTGCCGCGAGAGTCCGGCTGGAAAACTTGGAAACAGGGTTGAAGATAGAAAGAGACAGATAGAGGCGTGGGTGTTCGGTGTTCGGAAGCGACCGGTCTGGCTAAGAAAAGTCGAAAATCTTAATTCGAGGGCGGTACCGTGGCACCGTCGCGATGGGCGGCGACTGGTACCCAACGATTGGCTCACCCCCTGCGTCGGGGGTGAGAAACCTCGAAAGGGGTGCGGAGATGTTGCGCCGTGACGCCGGGACGTCGGCGTGCGCCTGAAACCCGGTCTCTTCGTACTCGGGGATGCCAGTCGACGCCGAGCGTCCCGAGCGTGAGGTCGCGGGAGAATTTTATTACTCTCCGCCGTTTCGCGTGGTTCGATCGTGGATTCATCGATTGTCGTCGTGTCAGAATCGTTCAAACATTTATCATCGGAAACATTGATTGTATGCTGTGACAAACGAGGGTCGGGGGTTCGATATTTGAAACGCGTGCCGCGGTGGTTTCTACCCGGCTAGGATGCGTCCGCGGGACGTGATTTTTTACAAAATCCTAACTTGACTCGCACGAGTGTGGTACACGGTGAGGCATCGCGCGTCCTTGACCGTTTCGATGGAAGGTCGTCCGACATTCTCTGCTTCTGGAGAACGTTTCCGGCGGGTCGTTAGTCCGTTTATCAGTCCGAACGGGGAGACGCGGCGGTGTGGCTCGTTTCGCGAGTGGAAGGACGACCTTGAGAGACTGTCGCCGCAGGACTCTCGCGGTGTGCTTGTTCGTTGTGGATGCGGGTCTTTCGCGGATCGTGCTTATTTTAATATCGGTCTCGCAGACTTATCGAAGATGTTGGTGCTCGTTAAACAAAAAGATGTCACGTTCAATCTTGTCCCCAGAATGGCTGCTATCTTCTTCGTTGCCTGCCTCTTGCTGCTGGACACCCGACCAACGTCTGCTGCTTTCACCACCGGTGAGTCCAGTTCACGATCCTTACTTGTTTTTTCGTTTAAACGTATCGTAAACGCAATTATCCATGTTTACGAATGTCGGTTCTTGCGAGGTCACGTTGCTTTTTAATTGCGGGCCATAATTATTATGAAGTGGATTTCATTTTGTCATCCATCAAATCAGAATCATGAACGCAGACTACGTGAAGTGCATTTACTCCAAACATAAAATAAAATCAATTATTGATAATTATACGGCAAAGTGAAATATAATATTTGAGAATTGCTATAAAAATAATCAATAACTATAAATCAATCAATTTTGTCAATACGTCATTAAATTCAAGAAATGGAATGATTGCTATATCGCAATTTTTTAAATACAGTGAATATTACTTTTTCATAGAAAATTGTATGTAATATAAATAAAACAACGTAGATACATACAATGACGAAATGTAGAATTTTAAATATTCAACTAACTGACTGAACATTCATATGTTTAGTCAGAAGGCGCGCTGTCATATTTCCAACAACAATATTTTCCAAGTATCGTCAACATAAACTGACATTATCTACTAATGCAAACGTACTTAACTAGTAAGGAAGAATTTTCAACAAAATTGCTTTCGCTGACATAAGATTACATACATGTGTCAATTTTTACCCAAGGCTGTTCAAGTGAAGAGTATATTTACACAATGGATAATTCTGTATAAAAAAAAAACACGCCGTTTCTTCTTAATGTACAAATCATTTGATTAAATCCGCGATCGAGGATAAATGAATTTCTGCACGTGGTTCTAATTTGATGGCTGGGATACATCGTTCGTTCCACTGGTGTCTGTCACACGCGAGTGGCGAGCCATTACCTCCGCAGGACGGTGGTCAATCAGCGTTTACCTATATCGTAAACTTCATCACGATCGACGTATAAACTGTCCACCGTATATTCCATTCGACCACTCTCACCCCCCGCCACCGACCAGTGACCACGCGCCTGTTTGAACGACGATTTAAACGCGCATCGTTTCGATCAACGGGTAATCTCGCATTTCATTTTGGCAACGTTAAATCAGGATACCGACAACGGCCGGAAAGTGTTCCCGGAAATTATGGCGTGCCGAAACGCTGCGTCAAAGGCAGCCGGATTTCGAAAAAAAATATTTCTTCCCACATCGCGTTCGTTCCGATGAAAACGTCGCCGGCCTCGTTAATTTGCCATTTTTAGTTATTTCTCTTTTGAATCGGAATCAGATTTAACCATGGATCGGCATATGAATAATTCATATACGTAGGAATTTATAAATGATTAGTTATATGAGTAATAAATAAGTAAATAATTGAAATAATTTATTGATAAGGTAAATAAGCATTTTATTCTTTTTTAGCTTTACTGATCAATTTGAAGTCGGTATCTATAAACAGTTGTGTGGGAATTGAAGAATTAATCTGAGGCTCGGTAAAAGAGCGGTTGAATCGATATGAAAAAAATCGTTTAAGCTTGTGTATCTCGTATAGCTTCGGATTTTTCATGAAAAAAAAGGGGAATAGTTCTGGTAGTTAGGATTCATCCGCGCGGGAATAAACTCATCGAGCGAATTTACGGGCGAGTGCGGCGTAAATCATTCATTCGAGTTTTACGTGGCCGTATCGCTCGTGACTTTCAGCGGAAGATTCATCGTGACGAATGACGCTGTAAAAACGTATCTACCCGTGGTAACGTCCTACCTAAATTTTATGTTATTTCTTTCGTAATTAATCAATCGGCACCGTTTTGATTTACATATTTCGACGCCAATCGGATTTGTTAAAAGTTTCAGTAAATCCGGAGAAGTGTAGACAATCGTGTATCATGTATACAGTTTTCTCAAAGTAAACAAAAAGCACGAGTTTAGTATTCCAGATTCTAGAGCATAAATATTTGAACGACGCTTAATGAGGCACGCGTCCTTATCCGGAATAGAATAATTCAAAACGCCGGTAGTCTGCGAAGATTATTTTTAGTATTCCTACTGGAGCCCGTTGAGATTTGCTTTAAAATTTCACGGCTCAGACGAAAACTTTCTTCTCGAAGAATCTCTCAAAGGGGAACGTCTCGTCGGAATGTCGTTTCTTGGGTTCAACTGGCAGACTGTCATGTGAACACTCAAAGGTGTCTTGATGATAACTCGATCAATCCATTTTCGCGGGGTTAAATTCATTCCGCGAACAAGAAACAGTCTTCACCTCGGGCTCTTTGTTCCTCGGATAAAAGCTCCTCTGAATTGTACGCAGCACAGTCGAGAACAAAACCACCAATAACATTCTTACATAGATCGCAAAATTAGAGTTTGTTAAATATTTTCATAGTGATAAAATATACAGGGTGTTCCGTAATTGGTAGTACGAGGGAATTGAAAACGTAGAATAAAATTCGTTCACATGAGACTCTGTTATCGATAAAAATACGTGTGAAAAATTGAATACGCACTTTGTCTAGATTCGGCTTGACAGATTTCGCTGTAAACTATCTCTATTCTCTTTTATAAATATGTCCAATGTTCGTACATATAGAATAAATCAACCACACAAAATTGCAAAAACTTTTCAGGAATTCGCTCTGTTCATAAATTGTTGGAAGTGATTTTCACATGGTTGCGTATATAATTATGCTCTCTTTATCCAATTTCTACGAATGTGTCCTAACGTCCCTTCGTGCAACTTAAATTGTTCAAACGTCATAACAACTGTTTGTCTTAATTGTTCGAAGCTTGTCATGACATTACTATAACACGAACAATAGACTTAATCTGATCCCATAAATAATAATTCAACATAAAAAAATGCCTCACATGAAAAAATTGTATTCTACATTTCCGGCTTAGTTTCTCATATAGAATCAGCCATTGTTCGCTCGTACCACCAGTTACGGGACATCCTGTATATCAAATATTTCATGTCTTTATGAATTATTTAAAAGTTCAACCAGTTCGGCCCAATTCTGGTTCTGTCTAAGCCAAGTCGGTCTCCCTGTGAACGACACCTTTCCTCATTCGTTAACCGTCGTCGCAAAAAGCTCGTCGACGGTTCTAATACCGTGGGCCACCGGTGAAATTACACTTCAATGGCGAAATTGCGGCCAGGAATGAGCTACCGGGTCCCGTCCGCGCGTCCGCGTTCCCGTTCGCCTCTATGCATAATTCATAAAGAGCGAAGGAGGACGAAGGGGGAGGTATGGCGAAACCCCGGGGCGATAAATATTTTTTGACGGCGGAACGACGTAAAAGTGCATGCAAATGAATTGGCCCTAATGTAGCCGGCGCTACTTACACGCCACTCTAAGCACACCTCAAACACTTTCTTTCAACCCCTGTCGACCCTTGGCTCTCAACACCTCAACGTTGCTCGTCAAAACGTCGCATAACGTCTTTAAAACTGAGACTCAATTATTACATTTCATACTAATTGTCATATTCATATAATTACATTCCTATTTGGTGTCGTTAGATTTCTATATTCAGCATTATTTTCCTATTTGATAAACTGTTATTTTAGTTTTAATGTGACAGTTGAGAAACTCTGTCCCTGTTCATTTTATTGTCTTACGTGCGCGATCTACTTCCGACAATTAGCAGTTTTTGAGGTCGCGGGGTATCACGGGAATAATTATTTCAGCTTTATGCAATTTGTTTCGTACTCAATTTGCTCGATTTTCGAATCTTACGATAATGGTTTATGTAATTATAATATGATTCATTTATATCGGCTATCTGATTTGATTGAATTACTGTAGCTTACCCGTTTTCCTTAGACTTGTAATTTATGATATCCAAGTTACGATGATAATACGGAAGGGCTCTCATTATCTCGATGTCCCTCCGTTGAACGACTCCGAAAACCATTCCCCTTTATACGGGGCCGTACATTTAATACGCTTAAATAGGTAGTCGCGGTCTGTACAAATTCACCCTATTCGTTCCGCGGTATTATCTAATTTCGATGAATTATTAAAGGAGTTTGGTAACGAACGTCGCCCGACGAATTTCGACCGCGGGCATACATCTCTATCTCGGGATCCATTCTGAAGTTTGCTTATCTACTTCAGCCCTTTATCCCCATCTTCTCTTCTAATTTAACAGCAGGTACTTTCCAAAAAAGTGGGACGAAGTTATTAGCACAAAATTTAATCATTCATTTAATCTATATTGGCTTTTCTTGCATCTCGTTTTAATTTAATTAATTAATTTATTTATTTAAAAACTAGATAAGATAGATTATTTTAAAACTAGATAATTACAATGTAAACGGTGTTTGAAATTAAAGTTACAATGTATTCTATAGAAGGTAAAGTTATCTGCCATAATGCCGAGTTATATTGATTGGTTCTGAACATTTTCTTTTAATTTATTAATACCTACTCTTTTTTTGTACATCTTTCTAAATTGTTAAAATATTTGCATTATTTATGAGAAGATTCAATATTTGATACGTGTAATATTTTAAAATTTATACACGTGGTCCATCTCATTCACATGGTCAGCGACTCACCCTATAATCATCCCCATTTTTGTCGAGCTACCAATCGGCCCCCACTCCCTTCACGGGAATTATCTCGTCGCCTAAGGGCTGCCATCTGTTTCGCTGAGGGTACGCACCCCTAATTAGGTACAGCGACAGTTGTAAGCGTGCTAAATCTAATATCTAGTACGGTCCGCCGCGTCGGAACTTGCGTCGAAATTTCCGTACGCTTGTTTTGGGAACCCAGCCCGGAGACTCGGCCAATCCGTGGATAATCGTGAAGATACTACAGTATTTCGCCGTTACATCCTTTTTACGATGGGGCTTGCATTATGTGGGGGTTGCCGTTTAGGGTCGTGGAATCGATCATCTCATGTTATGGGTTTCTGTGGTTTTGCTTGTCTGCAGTTTTCTTATTGCTGTTTTAAAAATACTTTATAAAAAAGGAGTCAATAAATGTTATTCTACAAATTTATTGCTACTTCTCTTGCTTCATGATTTAAGGAGTTTTTTGTATTTGATT